AATTATGAAGGTCTAAAGAAGTTTTTTATCTGATTTTGTTTGCCAAGATTACATCACAATTTAGATAAGATACAAGATGCAAAGTGGATATATGATATTAGAGATTTGTGAAATATACTTTTGATGCATTTATTTATAATAAAAATATTGATTTATACTGTGAAACTGGTTGCAATCATTGATGTGAGGTCTGCAAAGGTGTCCCTTTAAGTCGATCGGCATCTGGCCTTTTCTTTTTCACACGAAAACATACTGAGAGAGAAGGTTCAGTGCCCCCAGAAATTTTTCTAACACACTGAATGACAGGATGATATAACTGACATACGCATGTTTGAATTAACATCCCTGTTTCAGAGCAAATCAGAGAAATTCCTCACTGAAGTTAAATTTTTTGTTGAGCATTTCTCTATGTTAATAATAGAAGTGATAGGAAGACTTATATTGTTATATGTATAAAATAAAATCAGGAATAAATGGCAAATAGCACTGAATTCATGCTGTTTTCTCCCCCAAAGAAATACATGACGACTTCACCTGATTCCAAGACAAAAATGTTTTTTATACAATGATTGATTGTTTTCTCTTGTGACTTGCCAGAGAGTCTATTGAAAGTATGGGGCCTGCTATGAAGAAGCTATTTGTCTATTAAATTTATGTTCATATCAACCTTAGCATTAAATACTTCAAGACTCATTTCTCGTTTGCTATCATACAAATGTAAACTGTATTTTGCAAACACTTTGAGGCTGCTTCATGCTGCCAGAACTGTGAAAAGTGCCCACAGGGCGAATGAGAACCAACCGTTCGCCTCTAGCCAAAGCCCCAGCCTCCAGTCTGCATTAGCACAGTTGAGAAAAATGTCTGAAACAAGTGCTAAAGACCAGTCTCTGCAATGTATTTTTCAAAATTTGTAGTGCTATCAGATTGACAGGGAAAAAAATGGCTGCTGGAGACTTACACATGGAAGTGCCATTGCTTCTATCTCCTTTTCCATATTCGCAGGTCACTTTCTACATTTTTGAAAGAGTCCCCAAAGACTTCTTCCTATTCCATTTTTTTTATTCCATTATGCTTTAGCTGCTAGCCTCTATAAACAGCTATTAAGCCATTTGAGCCAGAACTGGTGGTGCCAGTAGACTCTGACATCCCCTATAAGCGCGATAGCTGAAGATAGCAGTTTGGCAATAAACACTTATGCAATTCTAAGTTTAATAATGAGGTGTTTCTAGCTCTACAGGAAATATATTTTTTCTATAAAACATACCCTCCATTCTTCTTGGATGGTATTTTTATCACTTAAATTCTCCAAGGCCAGCAGAGTTCTCAAGTCCTGCTTTCCCATTTGTCGCCTGACCTTGTTCTTCTGTGAAAAAAATGTTTGCAAGTCTGAATGAACATAACTTGTTCTTAGCATATGCTGCGGCTCCTTAAGTGGGAGAATGCTAAAGAGCAAAGACAGCCACTGACTTGCCAAGCAATTTGTTCTGGATTCTTTACCCCACCCAGAACAACCTTTTCCAGGGTTATCCAAGACTTCAGGAAACACCCAGATTGAAAACTTCATATTGCAGAGAAGAGCTGAGCTGGCCGGTGTCTCCACCACTGGCTGCTGAAGCATGACAGCATCTAAGCTGTGTGTACAGTTCAGCTCTTGTAGTTAGTAATACTATTTCATATAAAATTGCAGATTCAGTCTATACTTGCAGGACAAAGCTAAGAAAAACTGCCCAATTTTTTAAATCACAGCTAAGATCAACAGATTTAGAAAAATTGCTCAATGCAAAGAGAAACAAAAGGTTGGGGGAGGGGTGTCATTTTTTGTTTTTTATATTTAAGGTTTTCTGCTTTCTTTTTTTAGAAGTACTTTTTTAGCTTTTTCCCTTATGGAGGAATTAAAGTTGTACTAGCTAAAGAAAACCAATTATTATGGTTGAAAGCTAAAAAGCATCTGGGCTCTACTTCAGCAAGTGCCTGAAGAAAACAAAAGAATATCTCAGCACTAACAACACGTGTTCATTTTTAATACAAAATATGTCTGTTTTAAATTTAGGATGTCTGTTTCATGGATATTTCAAGGACAGAGGGATAGTTATAATCATGCAGTCAGACTTTCTACATAATACAAGCCATACAACTTCATCAAATACTTGCAATGAGATATTCAAATTCTGTAGTTCCTGCAAAGACCTCAATATTGGGGAAGAAAGTACAGGACAACTCTGACTGCTCTGCATCTGGAAACAAGCTCAGCTCCCACCTAATTCCGACTAATTTCATCTCTCCAATCTCTCCTGTGAGAATAGAATTATGATTTAGTGGATAAGGTAGCAAATTAGGAAAAAGGACCACATTTCTGTCATTTTCTGTTGCCATATGCTTCTTATACAAACTTTTTTTTTTCCAAACAGCATCAGATGTGATGTGGAATATACCAGGCAGGGCCATTGTGAGAATAGAGGAATTGAACATTGCAAAGTAGTGCAATGGGAGCCATATATAAATACTAAGACAGATACAGATTTGATAAATGACTAGCAAAGGCACTGGAGGGAACAATACAAGATGATACAGTCGGGCTTTTTCATCTCCAGCTCCCACGGCCCTGAGAGGAGGCATGGTGCGCCAGAAGGCAGCACTCGGGGCAGGACTTTTTAGCTACTTTATAAATAAATACCACTTGAGACTTCTAAGGTGGTGCAACAATAAAATGTAACCGTAGGTCTTCAAGTGTGCTGCTACAAAGGAGTACAGCTCAGAATACACAGAAATACAATCAGTCCACATTTCTTAGCTCTGACTGTCAGCACTGACACGTGCACGTGTAGAGAGAAACCATGGTACCTGCACAATCTTCTTAGCTGCACCCTGTGCCCAGTGCTGCTAGAGTTTACTCCCAAAGCCTCTGACCTGGTGAAAGGAGAGACATACAAGTCCTTCATATTTGCACTGAACGCAACTCACGCATAGCTGAGGATTCATCCCAGTGGTCTCTATGGAGCAGCCATTTACTTTAGCTCTATGCACATGAAACCTAATTTAAAATGAAAGATGGCAAACAACTAGTGAAAGGACAGTAGTCGTTTTTGCTCTTGACATCCTTGTTTCTCAAGGCTGTAATTGGTGGGCAAGCAAAGGGATAATTTGCTGCAGAGGAATTTTAGTAAATAGAGTACATTTTTATAAGAATGTATTTATTAAGGAATACCTCTATAAGGATGCATAAATGAATGTACTCACTGAGAAAGCACCATCCTGTATGAATTTTCATAATGGTGCGCGTGTCTTGTAACCTAAACCCTTTTTAAAGGACTTTTATGTAGCTTCTACAAGACATTTTGTCTTGAATCAGTTTGGCTGACAAATTATTACTCACACTGAAGTCCTTCATGTGAGATGCCCTAAAAAGAAGTTCTTTCATTTAATAACATTCATTTTATTAGTTCCCCCTAAAGTAATCACTTTGATGAGACCACGCTTTGTGTTCCCTTATTTGATCTGGGAATAAAATTATCGTGTCTTTACTTTAGTATCTCCTCCTTATTTTTTCTAGAATAAATAAACATGAAGCTGTCACTGCAGAGCAGGCACTGCCTCTCCCTGTTACCAACCTTTTGATTGCTGTGTTGAGAAAATTTTTCTGCACAATGATCCTTTCAGAATGTGCTTGAAGCATGATGTTTTCTTGGTTTATAGTTTGTTTCCCATATAGATAGATGAGTCGTGCCAGAGAGTTCCTGCTGTCCCAGTAGAGTTGTTTTTATCAAGTTTTCTTCCTTTCTCATAGAACTGATCAAATTATTCATCATGAAGAAATTAATATCAGTATTATTATTATGACAGCAACCAAGGCCCCCAATTTTGATATTTGGGCTACTAAAATATTCTGCAGCCTTCAGTTCTGTAAAGTCTTATGCAGATGCTTGTCTTATGCATTACTGACTTTTGTGGGCGTGTGCTGCTGACAGTGTAGTGTAGTCAGGGCCTCATGAGTTGAGGCCTCATGAACTTCAGCTCTTTTGTAAGTCTTCAGTAGATGGAGGCTTCATATTGCAAACCCTTTATGGTATGAGCTTATCTTTTGAACTGAGAAGACAGCGATGAAATTAAGGTATGCCTTCTTTCTTGTTTTCATTAAATAAAGATTAGGCTAATGAATATTTGCCTAAGGCCTGCGGGTAAATCAAATGCTAGAGGATGTTAATGATGGTGATCACATATTGGTTTTACAGACCAAAGAAGCAGCAATTGCATTCAGCTTTAGGCCACACTAACTATATACCACAACTTCTTTCAGTGTGGAAGGAATGTAGGCTTGAGACTAATGCTGATCATTTACATTATTGCCCTTTTTTTGTATTTCTGGAGAATCAAATGATAAAATTATTCATATTAAATCTTTTCCCCTCCTCCAGATGGTTAGCTACTGCCTGCCACATTCACCAAAGGCTGCAACATGCCCTGTGTAAATATTGGTGGTCCTGGCCTGGACCTAGACCTAGAATGTGGTGGCTTTTTGACAATACTAAGTAAAAGACCACAAGTCAAAAAGAAGAAAGATTATCTCACAAACTGTGGAAAAAGTGTATTTGTAACAGACAGATTACTGTTATCTCTTCTGGAGCATGGTGACACCAGGCAGTGGCTCACTTTCAAACCCAGCTCAGCATTACATCAGCTCACCTTCATCTTCCTGTAACGTGGATTTCTAAAAAGCTGTGAATATGGATTAGTGTATGTGTCCTATATAAACTGAACATACTACAAATCAACAACATTCTCTATTAGAAAAGTTGGTTTGTTTATCACAAAAGAAGCTATCAAATTGTGAGCTACAAATACCGCCTTTGGGAACATCAGTAAGAAACACTGATTGGCATTCTTTGGGAACATCAGTAAGAAACACTGATTGGCATGGTTTCTGAAAGTCCAAACTGGAAATCCACGTGAGGTACTGCCAGGGTTTCAGGGCATGTATTTAAATTGAATGTTATTATTTGCAGATCTCCTTCTAGTTCAGAAGACAGTTGGGTCCTCTCTGCAACATATTTTGCTGGTGACTCGATGGTTCCAGAGACTAACATGGAAATATAAAGTCATAGTGAACCTTGTGACCATTTTAAATCTAATCCAGGTAAGTGGTGTTCGCTGGTCTTTAATCTGGTATCTAATCAAAGTAGGTGTTGTTCATTTAGTCTTTATCTGCTGGCTATCTGATAAAGGCATATGAGAAATGAGTTGACTATGTCACTGCAATTTGTCAGACAGTTGTAAGAAATTATCTTCCAAACTGATACATTTATTTGGTCGCACCTGTGAGGAAGCTAGCAGCTCAACAGGGACAGGACTCTTGTTGTCATTAGTCAAAGGACTGACACATTTGAAGCAAGAGAATAAATACTCTAGGCTTTTCTCTAGTTTACTAATAAATTGCCAGAAGAATCAAATACCATCTGAGAGTATAGTTAAGCAGTGGAAAAGAGGTGGCTATAAGGAGCAGGCAAAAAGCAGATGCTAGACATCTTCAGAGTAGACAGAAACATATTTGTACAGAAGCATATTTATTGCCCATGTAGAAGGATCCTGAGACCCATTTAAAGCCCTGGGACAAAGAAAGTATGAGGGTCTCTAACACCTTTACCCTCCCACCTGGTTGTCTGGGACCACTGTCCCCTTACAGCCCCATTTGTCCCTCCGAGCGTCCTTCCCCGGCCTCTGCTCCTGGCACGCCGGAGCCCCCTGGCTTGAGAGCATCTCCGTGGCCCTTGCCAGCCCCTGGGACTGCCCTGGCTACAGTCCCCCTTTCTGTTTGCCAGCCCACTATGGTGAGAGCCTAGGGGCAGGGCTGGTCTTGTTTTTTTTGTTTTGGGGTAGTTTTTTTTTTTTTTGAAATTCCCTTTCAATTAGACTCTAAGTGGATGAACATAAAGAGAGAGAGAGAATTCCATGCTATTTAAGAGTGAACATTACAGATTATGAGCTGAGGGAAAGGGCTCAAAAGGCAACAATTCACCAGCCAGTCAAAATCACCAGCTAAATTTTTCTTTGCTTACTTTTGGATTTTTAGTGCCCTCTTGAAGGACATCAACAAGATTTAGACACAAGCATATCGCTGCTGTAATGAACACTGACAAAAATTTTGCGAAACTGGAAGTAGGAATGCATTTACAATACTCCTTTGGGAATTACTACCATAACTACATCAGTTTACTAAGCAGTACCTTTGTAAGTGTTTTTACTCCAGCGTGCATCACGCTAGGGATAATAGCTTTTTAATGACATTGGTGGCTAAATTGGTGCAATATTTATAGTAGTATGAAATCTAGGAGAATTTTTGGCTTCATTGGAGCCCACAGAAAAACCTCTACTGACTTTGTCCGAGCCAGGGTTTGAGCAAAACCTATCCTAATTTTCCAGGTGTGAGAAAGACAAAAGGGGCTTATATTTTTGCCTCTACTCTTAACATAGGACTATGAGTGAACTGATACTTCTCACACATACATACTACAAACGCTCTGAATTTCATTTCACTACAGATGTAATGGCATGGAATGCTGTCTTTCTTCATGAAACATGCACCTTTTAATAGCGGTTACTGAAAGGGTGATATATACATCCTTATTCCTCCCATCACCAAATAAAATGAAATTCATAGACCTGCTCTTAGCTAAAGTGATACACTTTTTATGGATAAATAAGGCCTTGAAAATGAAAATCTTCTACACTTCTCATGAGGTATATAGATCCAAATCAAATGAGCAAGTTACATTTAGGCACCTGCATACCTTCAAAAGGGTGTATTGGCTTGTTAGTCTTCTGAAAGGAAATAAACTCACTCTTCTAGAAAGCTTATGGAAGAGAATGGTGCCCTGGCTTAGCTTTCTCTATATGTTTTCCGTTTTCTAAAATCAGGCATATATGCTGAAGATAGCACTGTATCAGATTGATAGATGCATTAGGATCAGTTTACATATGAAAATGTAATTGATCCCTGGCCATAAACAGCTGTTTAGTGTGTGTTGTTGCCATTTCAGAAGCATATCAGAATAACTAGTTGAAAGACAAAAGGAGGTAGAAAAGTTCATCTCCCTTCAGGTTTAGAAAATATATGTTGCATTAGAAAAGGTGTTAACTGACAACATGTTTAAACTGACATGGTGATAAATATGACCAAGCACCAATGTTTTCTCCAGTGTACAAAATAGCATTTGCAAGAGCCTGGAGAGATTCCCGCTGGTCTCTGCAGGATTTGGCTTGAGCTCCTTTGCAGGAATTAGTTAGTGCCAGTGGAAGTAAATAGCCCCTTGGGGATGCTGCTGCTGCTGCTGCTGAGGTATTTATTTATATAATAACTTGGCTGGTGCAGAGATGGGAAGTCACAACTGCAGCTCCTGCCTGCTAAACTCTGCACCATTTATCCTTATCAGTTAGAGACCTCTGCAAGGATGAAAACATGATTTAAAGGAAAAGTCTCAAAAGGAGAAAAGTCATGAACTCGGGGGCCTGGCTGCTGAATATGTCCTCTTCCCCAGGCGATGCTGTGGGACCTGGCTCCTTGAGGATGGACAGACGGACGGACAGCAAGGCTGATGCCTGAGAGCATGCGGTGAGGTTGGCTGATGGCAGAAGAAGCACTCCCGACTTTCCTGACTGCCAACAGAGCAGCGCGGTAAAATGCACTTGTTATGAAGGAACCTCCCTGACTGCTCTGCCCAGCCCTTCCCGGGGTCCCCACCACCCCTCGCCCCTCGTTGCCGCTCAGCGGGGTCCTTCCCCCAGCTCGGCTCCCCGGTGCCTCCTGGCTCATGCCCCATTGGATAGGTTCTCCCTCTAGCCTACAAATGCCTAAGCCCAGGCAACGGTTCCCTCCAACACTGTGACCAAACCTCTCTGTCCTTACTTTCCAATCTGGTAGAAAACACAAGGGAAGCACAATTTGCTACCCCCCACCCTGAAGGAAAAGAGGACACCTTGGTCAGTGATCATATTTCAGTAATCAAAGAAAAAATTAGGTTATTCTCCTTCCCTTGCTAGACTCCAGCACTCAGAGTAATCTGAAATGGAAAAAAGACTGAAAAGGCCTTTGATAGTGACACACCGCTTTCTCTTCATGTGCGCTCTTTTATCAGAGCTTACAGACATTTGAGCAGAGTGTGGGGCCCTGTTGAATCGGCTGTTTTGCACATTTTTAATGATTGTTTTCTCATTCATTTCCTGTTTTCTTACCAGTGGCCCCAACCACATTCAGAACCTAGATAGTAAGTGCCTTGGTATCTCTGCCAGCTGTGTTTAAACTCCTTTTTCTACTCTTTAAAAAAGCTTAGAGCTCCACTTACTTCCCTTCTGATACATAACTTAAGCTAAACTTGACTTGAGGCCAACCATATCTAAAAAAAGGAAAAAGAAAGCTTGGGTAGAGCAGGAAACAGGTAATTCTGCTGCTGTTGCAAGTGCTGGAACTTAGACGTAGTATTTTCTAATAACCTTCTCCAGCTGCCAGTTACTTGTTCAAAATGAAACACATACATCGCAGGGGGAAGAAGGCTAATGTGTTTCTGAGTTAAAAGAAATGTTGTCAAGCATCTGTGTGCCACCTGGTACCCTTAACCAAACTTTCCCTCCTCCCAGCTGTGTCTTGCCTTGCTGTGCATCGAGTGACTGCCACTCTCCACTCCAGAGGTGGTTACGTTTCCGTGGTTTTGCCTGTTTAATGTGATGCCAGAATCTGTAGTCTTCGATTCATTTTCTCTGAGTCTAAACTCCCATTGGGGCTCACCTGGGGAAGCAGGAGGAAGAAGCAACCGAGAACCTCAAACTACGGTCCGCAGCATCAGTGCGCCCTGGGCACCTAGCAAGGACTGCAACCTGGCTGTGGTACATAGCCTCCATGCAAAATCGTTAGCCCCCCTGACTGTGCAGGCAAACAGGAAGCCGTGTGTTAGTGCTGGACAGCTGTAACACCTCCATGATTTGTGAGCAGAAAACATCAAAGCCTCCTGAATCTCAGACTCCTAGCTCCCTCTCCTGGCAGAGCACCGCAGTGGTAGTTGGAGCAGGGCTGCGCGGGTGCGCGCCGAGGGCTGGCAGCGGGCGCGGGGCACCCCGCCGTCGGAGAGAGCCCGCTGGCAATAGTGCGGAGAGGGCTCTACTGGCAGATTAATACAGGATTAGCAAAGGCAAAACCTATTCTAGTGAGGAACAGCTGTGACATAGCTTTAGCTGCATAAAAAATATGTACTTGAGCACAGATAAAACTTTATTGCTGCGCATTATCTGCAGCCCTTAAGGTTGGGGGTAGTTCGGTTTATTCGCTAATACTTTGATGCCAGAGTGACTCCTGCGCCGCTGTGCTGCAATTCCTCTCAGCGCCGCTGCCTTTCTCGGTTTGCTGCATGTTTTCTGTAAACAGCCAGCCCACCGAGCCCTTTCCCAGACTGTAACTTAGCCCTTGCAAAATGCACATCTAGCTGTCTAAATACGAACTGCCATTGCAGCAGGTAATGCACAACACAGGTGCTCTCATTATTTGTCTCTGCCCTGCAGAAGCAGATGTTAAGGCCCAGCCTGTTGATCCTGCGTTCTGCAGCGCATCCGTGGCATCCCAGCTTAGAGAGACACCCACCGATGCCAGGTCCTTCCAGGTAGCATCTGTGACAGCGTGACATGGGAGCGTGACACTTGTCGTCTCAGCCAAGGACTGAACCAAGGCCCTTTTCAGCTAAAAGCCTGAGGCTCTGCAGCTTGAGGAAAAGGACTGATTGTCACAGCCGCAAAATACAGCAGAGGCTTGCTCCCCAGCGGCCCAGACACACGAGCCGTGGCACGCGACGGCGGGAGCGGTGTCCCCCTGCCACCGGGGTCCGAGCCAGCGGCACAGCCACACCAGCAATGAGTCTGGCTCCGTATCCCTTGTGTTGTAAAAGGTCTGTGCAGCTTGGCTGTCTGTCAAAGCTCCCAGCTCAGCCATTTGCCGTTACTGACTTTCTACTACTTTGGTGGGGTGTTTTTGCAGTTTAGTTTTGTGGAGTTTTGCTTCAGTTACTGTTGGTTTCCACGCTGCGGGTGACTGAAGTCAATTGAAAGCCTCCCTAGTGGCTGAATGGACTCCAACTCGGGCGTCTAGAAAGACAAGAGCTGCTAAGATGGGACCTTTCCCATTTCTGTTACTTCCAATGAGAAAATAGAAACTGGATTTCCTTTGTAAGTTGAACAAAGCTCCTTTGGCTGTTTACAGTGGATTTTTTTAGAGCATTATTTGAGGTTATCTAATTTTTGGCAAGGATTTTATAGCCTTTGTTTATGAGGAGAAGGAGGCAGCTCACTGGTGCAGATGCTGGTTTCTGTTGTGGTCGCATTTTCTTCCAGGCGTTTTATCAGCGCAGCCTTCCAGTGGTGAAGTCCTTTTGCGGATTAGTGACTTGCTTTAGAAGAACCTGTCACTCTTCAACACTGACTATGGCTTTTGCTTAAATGGTAAGGTCTTATGTATGTTCTTACAGGCCCATAAAGCAAGGCTAAAGCTGCACAAAAGGGATTTAGTTGAGTTGAGTCTGTGGCCCATAAAATGTCTCATTGTAAGTTAACCATTCTGGTCATAGAAGCCTTTCTGCGTATTAGTCAAAATGAAATTATTATGAAATATCTCCAGAAATTGAGATATTGAAAAGAGAAAGAGAGAAGTACCAGCAAAGGTATTCATGCTTTTTATAATTATTCATTTAGTTTCATCTCCTCTCCAGACAGATTAGGTAAGTAGTTTGAGTATTGAGAAATAGTCTATGGTCTCAGAGCAACAGAGGAAAGATGAGTCAATGAGGAGGAAACTCTGGAAGGCTGCACAGTGGGGAGCGAAGCCCTGGTGCTAGTGCTTTCCCTGAGCAGCAGTAGCCCCGGCTGCAATTCCTCCTCTGAACCTGGAGGTCCGCATTTCCAGAGCCAACAGGCCCCACACAGCCTGCCCACACTACCATCGCCTGCGTGAGAAGCCCCGTCCTCGTCGCTGGCCATGCAGGCACCGTGTTCACCTGTGCTTTGTAGCCCAAAGAAGAGAAGCAGGCGATCCGCTGAACTCTGTAGCTGGTCAGGCAAGGACGTGGTAAAGCTCTCTGCCACCCAGCGCCCTGAAGTCAGAGCTGGTTGCCTTTCCAAAGGAGAGTCTCATTCAACTGGACGTGTCTGGGGCTGATACAGAAGTTATGGGGCCAAGCTGTACAGCTGTACAGCTGTTATGCTGCAGGTCAGACTAAAGGCCGGTCTTTTTTCATCGTATGTTTGTTGCGTGAGGAGGGTGGTACATATGCCCATAGACGTACACAATAGGCTATAACTGGGTACTGACTCTTTCTTTTATTTTGCAGGGCTGAGCATCTCTGGGTAGAGCTGTCCTTCTGCCTCCCAAGTAGCTGTTCAGAAAGAGATCTTAAAACACATGATTTCATGCAAAAAAATCCAGTTCTCTGATTCCAGCAGCAGCCAGAGCAGCTGATGAGTAGGAGAGAGCTGCCCAGATCTTCCTTGGTTTATGGACCCGTTTCACTACACAGCTTGCTCTTAAGGACAGGCCAGCACACTTACACAGGTGCCAGGGATATTGCTGCTGATTGGGTGCACTGAGCCATGATATATCAACTGCATCCATGTCAGAGGAGCATGTCCAGGACTAGTCACAGTTAACATCACTCTATTTGTGGAACAAATGGCACCAGAGAGAGTTTTACAATCATTTTGAGAACAGAATAAACAGTTTGAATAGATGAGGCCCCAAAATGCTAAGATACTCTTTACATACAAATACCTTCAGTGGCAAGAAAAAGAGAGGAGAAATTCAGAAAATAATAGAATGAATTATAACAAACTTCTTTTTCTAAATAGAGCCTTTCTGTATTTCCTATGGGATTCAGTTGAGTGGGAGAAGATTAAAAAAAAAAAAAAAGGAAGAGCAGAGACTGCTTGCAAGACAGCACAAACCTTGAGTGCTAAGAACACGCTCCAGATTTCTGTAAAGATGCCTTGCTCTTATCTGAGCCTGATTCACCACAGTTTATTCTCAGAATTGTTCAGAATTCAAGGACCTTACTCTGCTTAGGTTAATGGGATATGTTCAGCACTGAAACTCATGACACAAACAGCAGCTTGATTATTCAATCCAGACTGAGGTTTTGGTGGTTAATGGAAATAAAAATAGCAACAACAATTACAATTTACATTTCATAGATGATAAGAATTTTTCTTTTAACTGTGGTCCAGGGCTGTGCGTAGGGAGGAGGGGCCCCGTATAAATGAGAGGTTGTGTTGCTTGTAGCAGAAAAGATTAGCATGCACATGACTGAAGAGGAGGAAAAGGAAAACACTGCCATAAAACTGACAGTAGAGGTGAAGAACGTTGGTAAATGTGTAATGCAGCACTGAAAAGATGCAAGAGAAAACATACCAAACTAGAAGTCTCCTTATATCTAGAGTCCTGCTATTCCATAGCAGGAGTTAATTTGTAGGGAAGAAGCTGCTACTGGCATATCACAGGCTCATAATGCTGGCAAGAAAAATGCTAAAGTGATATAATTACCATAATTACTATATTTACTCCAAAAATATGGTAGTTTTCTACCCTGAATTTTGTTTGAGCAGCTGTTACCTGCATTTGGGGTTGGTGCCAATCACGAGCTAATGCCACATATTGCAGGTACTCTAGGTGCAAATACAGTATATCTCACACTTCAAATGCACCAGTCCTACAGCATGTCAAAGCATATTGCAAACACAGCCGCACATAGCAGTATTATTCAGGGCTCCTGTTAGAAGGCATTTATGTGTAGCTGACCAAAAATAAAATGTCAGACCAACCCGGGCAATTCATCCTGCTCTGATTGCAAACTAAACCAATGGAAAGGGGTCTAAAGGGAGGGCTTCTGCAAAGAATCTAACTTACAATGTGATTATTTGAGCCCTATTGTGAGAACATGCTGTGGCATTAGGATGAAAATAGACAAGCCAAAGAAATGAAAAGGAACTTTTCAAGCCCAATTCATCACCAAATGTGACACAGCTGTGCATAGGAGGTATCAAATTAGAGTAATTTGCATCTGGCTGTCACTGCCCAGGGGAAGGGGCTCTACCTGCTGGAGGTGGCTGTAAAGTCCTGC